GCACATACCCTCCTCAATGTCCATAATCCAGCCACCCTATTCCTTCCCACCCACAACCCCCCAGCAACCCTCGGTTTTTTTTTTCCTGAGATTAAGAGTCTCTTATGGTTTGCCTCCCTCCCAGATCCCTTGTTTCATTTTTTCTTTCTCTACGCCCTACAACCCCCTCCCCACCCTGTCTCTCAAATTCCTCCTATCAAAGAGATCATATGATAATTGTCTTTCTCTGATTGACTTATTTCACTCAGCATAATACCCTCTAGTTCCATCCACGTTGTTGCAAATGGCAAGATTTCATTTCTTTTGATGGCTGCATAGTATTCCACTGCATATATATACCACATTTTCTTTATCCATTCATCTGTTGATGGGACATCTAGGTTCTTTCCACAGTTTGGCTGTTGTGGACATTGCAATGCACTTTGTTTTTTTAGGATAGTTTAAATCTGCAGAACAATGGTGACTATAATACAGAAGTCCCCATACACCCATCCTCACTTTCCCCCATTAGCACCTTCCGTTAGCACAGTACATTTGTCTTAATTAATGAACCAGAATTGATTCATTCTTATTAAGTAAGATACAGACTTTATTCAGATGTCCTTAGCTTTCTTCTGACAACCTTTTTCTGTTCCAAGATCCCATCCAGGATACCACATTACGTTTACTCGTTACATCTCCTTAGGCTCCTCTTGACTGTGACAGTTTCCTATTTTCCTCATGTTTGATGACCTTGACGGTTTGGACTACTTGTCAGATGTTATGGAGAATGTTCCTCAAGTGGGATTTGTTAATATTTTTCTCATCACGAGACCGGGGTTAAAAGATCATAGAGACAAAATGCCATTTTCTTCACACCATATCAAGGGTATGTGCCATCCCCAGGATTCAATCACTGTTGCTGTTGACCTTGACTACCTGGCCAAGGTTTGTCAGGTTTCCATGTTACTCTTTGCCCCACTTTCCATACTGTGCTCTTTGGAAGAAAGCCACTGTGCACAGTCCACATTCACAGAGTGGGAAGTTATGCTCTATCTCCTCGCAGGTGAAGTATCTACATAAATTATCTGGGATTTTCCCGCACCAAGGGATGTATCTCTCCTTTCCTACTTATTTATTTATTCAATCATTTATTTATTTCAGTATGGACTCAGGGGTACAAGCACAGTTCATTTTTCAAGATGCAAATTTCTCCCCACAGGGAAAACAAGAGAGGATGCCAAACATTTGCAGAAACGAAATGCCCTCAGCCTTTTCTCCAGCACATCCCCGGAATGCGTTAAATCCTCTCTGCAGCAAGGGACTTGGCACAGGTAAAGAGGGATTGCTCTCGGTCATCAAAAATGGCTGACTCACTAAATTAAAATACCCTTGCGAAAACTTCCCTGGTATTTGCTTAATCTAAATCCGCCATTTCAGGGAGGAAAGGAAATTTAAATGCACTCTTTATTTCTGAGTATTACTTAAATCACAGCAAAATATAAACAATCAATGAAAAATAAAAAGACAGGAAACCTCCCTCAGACTACTAAGACAAAACTAAAACACACCAACAACAGCAATGCCGGTCGATGATTTGGTCAGACTTCGTGGCCAGGAGCCTTCGGAATCTTGTGGCCCCAAGAACTTAGTTTCACTACGGGTCTCACCAAGTCCTAAGGCCAGCTCAAGGTAGCTTCCAGTGAAGCTCCTGCCTGTCAGGGGGACCCCCACAAGTAGCACTCAACCTCAGAAAAGCACTACAGACCATGGTCTTGAGTAGTTACTAGGCATTTCCTGACTTGCGAAGGTGTCCGTGCTCTACTGGAAGACTAGTCCTCTCCACAGAAGTGCCCTGCTTTCTTTCCATGCCATCACCTTCGACATCTCAGGAATTTTCTCCTCACACCTGCTATAGCTGCCCTGTACTTCACATAGACCGACAGCCGGCCGTCCCCTCTGGGTCTTTTCCTTACCAGTTTTGGGAGGTCCCACCTAGTGAGGACAGAGCTCATTCTGAGGCAAATTGTCTGCTCTGTTTCTCTGGGCCTCAGGTTCTCTAGTGTGAAATAAAGGTACTGATTCAATTGACTCCAATGCTTTCCAGCTCTGAAATGTTACTATCTTGTTTAATCTTTAAGACCTGAAGTAATACTATTTCCCAATTCTTCCTGAGAATAACTGGACAAAACAGTAATGTGGTTATTAAATAGTGTCTTATCTTTCCCTCAGTTCCTTCGTCTGACTGATTGGCGTTTTTGATGATTGTGTGATGTCTATACCTGGATATAATAAATTGTGCTTCTTCTTCTTTCTTTTTTTTTTTTTCCAAAAATGTGCTTCTCAATTTTGCCTTCAAAATGATATATTTTTTCCCAAAGTGGGATTTTTATTTTGATAGTTCCTAGCCTTTTTCAATGACTAATATACTAAAGTATAAATGTGGACTTTTTTTTTTTTTTAAAGATTTTATTTATTTATTTGACAGAGAGAGAGATCACAAGTAGATGGAGAGACAGGCAGAGAGAGAGAGAGAGAGAGAGAGGGGGAAGCAGGCTCCTTGCTGAGCAGAGAGCCTGATGCGGGACTCGATCCCAGGACCCTGAGATCATGACCTGAGCCGAAGGCAGCGGCTTAACCCACTGAGCCACCCAGGCGCCCCTAAATGTGGACTTTTTAAAGGAGGGAAATAAAATCCGGCAGGGGTGTGCAGAAAGTTTGAACTTATTGTATCTGTAATACTTAGTTCCTTAAAAAAAAAAAAAAATGGGAGCAAAGCCAGCAGAATTTGAGGATGTGATGAAATCTGAGCGACAGTTCTATCAAGTGTTTGTTCTATTACCGTGACTATCATTTTTTTTTTCAAAATTTGTGTTTGTTTGTTTGTTTGTTTGTTTGTTTGTTTTTTAATTTATTTGACAGACAGAGATCACAAGTAGGCAGAGAGGCAGGCAGAGAGAGGAGGAAGCAGGCTCCCCGCTGAGCAGAGAGCCCGATGCAGGCAGAGGCTTTAACCCACTGAGCCACCCAGGCGCCCCTAGTGTGACTATTATTGACTTTACTCATATCATCTTCTTAAGAATAAAACTTGACATCTCATATCCCTATTTTTCCTTTTGTTGACCATTTAATTGTCTGGTATTTGAACACACAGAGCCAGACATTAAAATAGGACAGGGAGGGGCGCCTGGGTGGCTCAGTGGGTTAAGCCGCTGCCTTCGGCTCAGGTCATGATCTCGGAGTCCTGGGATCGAGTCCCACATCGCGCTCTCTGCTCAGCAGGGAGCCTGCTTCCTCCTGTCTCTCTGCCTGCTTGTGATCTCTGTCTGTCAAATAAGTAAATAAAATCTTTAAAAAAAAAAATAAATAAATAAATAAAATAGGACAGGGAAGAGGCAGCCCCATAGTCTAGGGCCTTTTTGTTTTACATTTTTTTTTTTTTAAGATTTTATTTATTTATTTGACAGACAGAGATCACAAGTAGGCAGAAGCAGGCAGAGAGAGAGGGAAACAGGCTCCCTGCTAAGCAGAGAGCCCATTGCGGGACTCGATCCCAGGACCCCGAGAGCATGACCTGAGCCTATGGCAGAGGCTTTAACCCACTGAGCCACCCAGGCACCCCAAGGACCTTTTTCTTTGAAGCTCCCATTAGGCTCTAGCTCTTCTGTGAGGCTTTTCTTTTGGCCTTGATCTCCTACGGAAAATTTGTTAGTCAACTTCTCTGGTGTCTTTTGCTATAGAGACCCCTTTGAGGCACTTAATCCCTACTTAGGAACTCTGGGCTTGTCCAACAAGCCACATTTTCCTGTATAGGACACTGACATTCTGTACCCTCAGGAGGGGCGAGGTCACTCCCCGCTAACAAACAACCCCACGGGTCATTTCTTGCCCACACTCCATGTCCAAAATAGGTTGGCTGTGGCTCCCACCCAGTGGTCTTCACTCTGAGACTGTGGATGGCACAGTCTGACCTATCACACTGCCTGTCTCCAGGTAGAGGAGGAAAGAGCCCGATAAGCCACATATGATTACTAAAACTTCTACCCACACATTTTCAGACCATATTATTGGACATAATAATGCAGTTGGGTGGGGATCTCCAATCTTACTGGTGGGAAGGGCACCAGGGAGCAGGAATCTGATCATTTGAGGAATATACAGTGACACAGTCTTCCACACGCTCTTGGGAAATGTTTCCTCTGCTGGATTGTGGACTTTCATCTTTCAGCTAACAACCAACCGTCCTGTGAGCTCACCTGCTGATGCTGCCAGTTATCAGCAGTGTCGTCCTCTTAAGGAACTATTCGTACAAGCATTTAAATATTTTATTGCATTTTAGCCCTTATTAATTTATAACCATGGATGGAAAATGGAAAATTAAAGTGCCGATATGAGTCATAAGAAACATAGGTCTCAGAAACTGAAAACACTTGCGAGGAGACCTTGGGTGTGCCTTAGGCTGTGATACCCCAGAGGTTTCCTGCCCAATCTAGACTCTTCATTAGAGAAGCAAATACATTAAGAAACTTGTAAAAAGCTAGAGCAATATCATCAAAGCTAGTGTTTAAAGGTTGGGGCATAGGGGCACCTGGATGGCTCAGCAGTTAAGTGTCGCCTTCAGCTCAGGTCATGATCCTGGGGTCCTGGGGTCCTGGGATCGAGCCCCGCATCAGGTTCCCTGCTCAGCAGAGAGAGCCTGTTTCTTCCTCTCCCTCCGCTGCTGCCCGTGCTTGTGCTCTCTCTTTGTCTGTCTCTATGTCAAGTCAAAAAATAAATCTATATAAAGAATAAACGAGTTTTTAACTCTCTAGGAACAGAAATTATCAAATTGGGACATCTTATTTATGGGACATCTTATTTATGGGACATAAATTATTATTGGGAGATCTTATATATCCTTATTTTCAGGAACACCTTATATAGGAGCTCTCGGTACTGGCTGACTTTTTTACTTAGTGCTTTATACACGTGCTTTGTTTTCTCAGATTCAAAATCCCTGGGGAGAGGCTCTAAGTGGCAGAATGGAGAATGCACTCAAGTTCTGTGAGACCATCCCAGATCCAAATCCTGGCCCGGACACCGCTTTGCAGTGTCACCTCCACTGGTTTTGTATGACAGGAAAGTACCTCCCCCAGACCCTTGTCAGCTGGTTTCTGGGAGTTCAGCCAATGGGAAGCACTGGTAAAAGACTAGAGGGTGGTGCAGGGGAGAGGTCAAGACATGCTCCTCTTTTCTCTCTGCTTCGGGAGGTGTCCCCCACAGTGGCCACGCATCTGACGGTGGCAGTGCTATCTCGGTCCATCACCTTCCTGCTATGGTCCAGCTCTAGTCAGGTGAGCAGGGGTGGCTTCCTTCCTCCTTTTGCCAATACGTGGGCTGCCTCTTTGTCTTTCCTCTGACTTCTCACCTGGGTGCAACTCTGCTGCAAAATTTAACTTTTCTTTTGATGGTGGGACACAATACAGTGACACTTCGGGATAGAGGAAAGGCAGAATTCTTTGTTACTTATTAGCTCCAAATGAAAGAAGACAGCCGGGCGGGGTGTCATGCCGTGGGGAAGGGTTTGTACCTGTGCACGGGGGGACAGCAAGTTGGAACTGTAAGAGATGGCTCATGGGGACGCCTGGGTGGCTCAGTCAGTGAAACGGCTGCCTTCAGCTCAGGGTTCTGGGATCCAGCCCCATATCCGGCTCTTTTTTCAGTGGGGAGACTGCTTCTCCCTCTGCCTGCCTCTACCCCTGCTTGTACTCTGTCTCTCTGACAAATAAAATCTTAGAGAGAGTGAGAGCTTATGTATGGCAAGTAGGCTGAAGTTAGCTAGGTTGTGAGGGATCCCTGGGGGTTGGGTATTTCGAAAAATTCTGCAGACCCTATCTCTTAAGTATCTGGGGCCTCTAGCCTTGGGTAAGTGTGTCTTATAACCAAGGTGTGTTAGGGTCTGATAAGGGAAGTAGTTGGGGTAGGGGCTTAGCAAACAGCCTACAAGAGGGAGTTGAGAGCTTTGAGCTAGGACTACAAAACTGGGACAAAACAGCATTTGGAAACTATTACACAACCAATTCCCTATATTACCTTCCCTCTGTGTGGAATTTCTAGAATGGCCCCTGTTTCCCTGCCTGGACTCTGACTGATGCAGATGTATTTGATCACATTCTAAATCATTACACATCGATAAACAACTATGGTATTGTATTAATATCACCAGGGATCAGACTACTGTTGCTTCATCGTTAGCCACGCTATGTACCATGAACGAATCCCTCCAGCCATCTTTGGCCCTCTCACTATTTCATGAGTTTCTTAGAGGCAGGGTTTGTGTCTTACGCATTCCTTCTCACAACCCCCATCCAGAAACTGACCAAACCCCAAATGTGTGCTTTAATAAATACATGATTAATAATGTGCATCTCTGAGAGCACATCAATCATGAGTTTTGACTTCCACCTTGGCTGCAATTTAGGCCTGGAGCCAGCTCCTCCCTCTGACCTTCATAGTCCTGCCCCCTGACTTGGACAAGATCCAGATTCTTCGATGAATCATCTGACATACTACTTATTTTCTTCCACACATTCCTATAAAATTGGCATTTATCACAGCTTCCATGAAACAGTTCTTTTTTTTTTTTTTCTCAAGATTTTATTTATTTATTTGGCAGAGATTACAAGTAGGCAGGCAGAGAGAGAGGAAGGGAAGCAGGCTCCCTGCTGAGCAGAGAGCCAGATGCGGGGCTCGATCCCAGGACCCCCAATCCCAGGACCCCGGGATCATGACCTGAGCTGAAGGCAGAGGCTTTAACCCACTGAGTCACCCAGGCGCCCCACCATGAAACAGTTCTTTGTTATCGGACAGCTTTCCCTTTTCTTGTTGTTATCAGTTGTTTTTAATCTCTAAGAGAGACATGGGACCTCTCTCCAAGGCCAGCCTCATGGGCATGTGACCCTGGCGGTAGCACAGGGTCCCCCTCCTTAGGACATCCCACACACGGTTTCATGTTGCCTTTTTGGAATGCTTAACACCTTTTTTTTGTTGTTGTTTTAAAGATTTTATTTATTTGAGAGAGAGAGAATGAGAGAGGAGGAGGGAGTGAGAAGATGGGGGAGGGAAGGGTCAGAGGGAGAAGCAGACTCCCTGCTGAGCAGGGAGCCCCATGCAGGACTCGATCCTGGGAACAGGATCATGACCTGAGCTGAAGGCAGGTGCTTAACTGATGAGCCACCCAGGCGCCCCAAATGCTTAATACTTTTAAATGAGAACCCCACCCCTATTCTCACTGTTGTACTGGAGTCCACAAATAATAGAGCCAGTCTTGTCTGTCTCATTTGTATGTGCCTAAAGCTTGTGACATTAATTGATCGTGGAGGCATATGGATTTAATATGGGTTCAATATTTAGTTCAGAAGCTCCCCATTTTCCTTAGGAGATTTGCTCCAAATCTCTCAGTACAACATGGGATGAAAAGCTTTTCATCTGCTGTTACCTCCCCTGCCTATACTGACACCCCTAAAACTTCCTCAGCCCCATCTTCTCTACTCTGCACCCCCTCCCTTCAAATGTCAACTCCCAGCTATCATATTACCTGCTGTTTCTAAATTTGTGGGCTTGCTAGTTGCTGGGCCCTTGCATGTCCTTGCCCCCATCCCGTCCGAGGCTGTTCTCTGCCTGTCTCCCTAGGCAGCTCCAACTTATCCCACACATAGGGATCTAGAGGTCACTTCCCTGGTGTTCCCTGAACTGAGAGGTGGGGCTCTCATAGCACCTTGTAGCATTTATCTTGCTATTATGTTACTTTCCATTTTTTTCTCTATTTCCCTCTTGAAGTTGTGAGATCTCTATAGATAGAAACTACCTCATGTTCTCCAAGCTGACAGCCATGCTCACTCAGCTCCAAGGATGTACCCGGAAAGTTTTCATTCACCAAATTCATGACTGCATGAATGCACAGATCCCTGGCTTATTTGGAGAGTGTGTGAGGAGACAGATTAGGTTTTCTTTGGTACCACCAACTGATGAAGTTTTAGAATATAGGTGAGGTTCGGTTGGGTGAGGTCTGGAGCCGATGACCAAGAAAGAATTGAGACACCTTTGGTGCCAGATGGTGGTTTATTAAAGCACGGGGACAGGACCCCTGGGCAGGAAGAGCTGCTGCCCCAGGTTGTAAGGGGTGGCAGGTTATGTACCATGGGGGTGGGGGAAGTAAGGAAAACGGAGGTTTCAATAGAACTTTTGTTAGGTCCCCAAATAATGGGTCCATGATTAAAGGAGCGAGACTGATACAAAGCGAAGGTCAAGCAAAGCTTTATTCCGCGCCAAGTATCAAGAATCAGACCAAACGTTCGGGCCGCGCCTCTTACAGAGAGGGTGACTCCTCTCTTTCACAGACTAGCTTTTTTTTTTTTTTTTTTTAATATTTTATTTATTCATTTGACAGACAGATTACAAGTAGACAGAGAGGCAGACAGAGAGAGAGAGAGGGAGGGGGAAGCAGGCTCTCTGCTGAGCAGAGAGCCCGATGCGGGGCTCTATCCCAGAACGCCGAGATCATGACCTGAGCCGAAGGCAGAGGCTTTAACCCACTGAGCCACCCAGGCGCCCCCACAGACTAGCTTTTAAGGGCAAAGGCCATGTGGTTGGGCCTGGCCACGCATGGATGGCCAATGAAATTGTAACACACAGAGAAAGCTGCACAATCATGTTAGGTCACACATAAGTGACCAATTGAATTACAATTTACCCGAGTAGATATTTCAACCAGCCTATATCACCTTGGTCAGAATTGGCACCCAAAAGGTGCCCAAAGGGCGGGGCCCATACTCCTTGGTAACTAGGGAGACAGTATGCATGCTTTACTGATTGAATGTCTCCACCTGACCCAACTCATCCCTGCATTTGGGCTGTTATCTCCACCTGACCTGACCCACCCTTGTATTTGGGCTTTGTTACCTGGGACTGGTTTCCCGGACTTGCTTTTAAGTAAGTTCCCCTGGGGGGGTGGGCGCAGGGTCAATTTAAGTTTTACTGCATAAACAACAAAATGGCAGTTCAATTGGGGTGGGGCCACTCAGGCTGAATAGGCCGTTACACTTTCATATGCTAAAGCACCTACAAGATACCGGATACCAGAGGCCTTGCCATTGCCAAGGTCGTTTTGCCCTTTTTAGCAGGCTATTAAGATAGTTGGGAGATTCCTAAAGAATCACAGATGTTCCACCCAGGAGTGGAGGTGGGGGGAATGTTGCAAGGTCTCAGCCTTTTGCTTTGTCCTCAGCTACCCTTCTGTTCCGTCATCACCGACGACTGACAAGTACTTACATCATCGAAGAAGACATTCCACAGCACCCTCCGCTGTAGGCGCGTGGGGTCCTTTTCCAACACAACCACGGAAGGCACTGCCTCTCTTTGTCCTTTCCAGGATAGCTAGACGGTAGTAGCTCCTTGAATTTCTCAGCCTTTGAAGTGGGGGTCGGTTCTGAGGTTTCTCGTGGGACAGACCCTTACCCAGGTCCTAGAGGCAGCTCCAGGGAGACTTTCCCTACCTCCAAAGAGTATCAGGCCCTATGCAAATCCTGGATTAAGTGTTTCTTCCTTCCCCTCTGTGTTCCTTTTCTATGTTCTGTTCACTCTTTCAAGGCCCAACTGAAATGTTAACTCCCCACATTTGTCATGTAAATGACCCCTATCTGCTTTCCCATTGCATTTCCTTTTCACCTGTAGGGGTACTCAGCAGATGTACTGACTAGCACCGTGGAGACCACACAGTCTGCTTTGGGAGCGGGGGAGGAAGGAGGGGTGGGGGCAGAATGCGCTCGTCTTTGCAGCTTTTATGTCTGTATTTCCTGTACCCAGTCACCACTCAAACTGACCTTGGTATACTGGATCACAGCAGATAGACAAATACAATTAGTACCAGTAAAGGAGAGATTTGGAAAAGGAATGAGTGCCTTTATCTGATGGAAGGAAAAGTTTCCATCAATTCACTGGAAAATGCACTTGGAAGAAGGGGGCGAGGGGAGGATTCAGGGAGAGAAAAATGGGGACTTAGAGAAGGCAAGGGAAGGGACCTGGGTGACAAAGAAGTTGCAAGGCCTTAAGTCCTAAAGGTAAGAAGGCTTTAACATTTGGTAAGGATGCAGGCAGGCCCTGTCCAAGGATCAGAGAGGGTCCTTTCCCAAGGATGGAAGTGAGCCAGAAGAAAACAAGAGAAGAGTTTACCGAATAGTGTAAGTGATAGAATACAGCAGACAGTGTCCGGGAGACTTGGAAAAAGAGAGGTGAGCCTTCTGGTTGCTTGGGGTTACGGGTCTATATTGGAAAGGGGTCTAGGGTACGTGTTCCTTTAGGAAGCCAGGGTTGGGTCAGATCAAAGACAAGTGCCAGGTAAACGATAGATGTTATTCCATAAATCACCAAAGGTGGGGATACTGATGCCAGTGTCCACAGAGGTTTGTTTGAGGTGAATGTCCTGGAACATGTTCAGCATTAGGGATCTTTTTAGATGTTATCAGGTGTTTGGGGACCTAGGGTGAAATGCAGAGAAAGAAGAACTTCCGTGCTTCCCCCTTGGCGTGAGAACATAGTTTCTCTGGTTTACTCAGATGCAAGGTGAATTTACTCATTCCAGGTGAATTTACAGAGCACGAGTAAATGGGGCTTTTCTAAAATGGAGACCCTACTGTTTGTCCATCTCCGTAACAAAGGCACTATGGAGACAGAGAAGAAAGGCGGGAGAGGTGGGCTCTAGCAGGGAAGAGCATGTGTGGCCCCAGAAGCTGAGGCACCCACAGATGAGAACAAACTGATTTGTCTAAAGAGCGGTCCAGCTGTGATCGGTGCTCCAGTAAATACGTCGCTGTTTGAGAACGGCTGTGACTAACTTCCTTGGGAAGCCTCTGGGGTTTTGTTTTTCTGGTTTTGTTTGCTTTTGCCAATCCTCCCCAATCCTCTTGCATCCAAATAACTACAACTCCAGAGACACTGACATTATGTTTTATTTCATAAACTTGGCTTGCAGATGGGCTGTTTCTCTCCTGATCTCCTTTCTCCAGCCAGATTTTCTCTACTCTCCATCTCTCCTCTCTTCTAATGCCATGTAGCAAGTGTCTATAAATTCAGATCTTGAATAGTAAGCTCTGTGAAATACAAAATTCCCTTTGATCAATGAATCATTTGCCTAATGAACCTGAAATCCTGGTGGGGAGGGCAAAGCTGGAGGTAATTAGAGGAACATGTTGGTAGTTTGAATTTGGAAAGTACCACTCCTCAGCCTGATTCTCTATTTCCATCCTGCGCAGAGCACTCCTGCTTATCCCACAGCAGTTTAAAAGTACCTATGGAGGGGTGCCTGGGTGCCTCAGTGGGTTAAAGCCTCTGCTTTCGGCTCAGGTCATGATCTGGGTCGAGCCCCGCATCTGGCTCTCTGTTCCGCAGGGAGTCTGCTTCCTCCTGTCTCTGCCTGCCTCTCTGCCTACTTGTGATCTTTGTCTGTCAAATAAAGAAATAAAATGTAAAAAAAAAAAAAAAAAGGTACCTATGGAGCGGGGTGGTGTGCCTGGGTGGCTCAGTGGGTTAAGCCTCTGCCTTCAGGGGGGTCATGATCTCAGGGTCCTGGGATCGAGCCCCGCATCGGGCTCTCTGTTCAGCAGGGAGCCTGCTTCCCCCTCTCTCTCTGCCTGACTCTGCCTACTTATGATCTCTTTCTCTCTGATGAGGAAGCAGAAGGCTGGCTGAGGACAAAGCAAAAGCTGGCACCTTGCAACCCCTCTCCACCACTCCCCTCGGCAATATGTGTGACATTCCTCAGGCACTTCTGGCTGCCCTAAAAGAAAAATAGTTAACTTGCAAAGATCACAATCCTGCAAGACAGGAGTCTCCCTCGGTCTACAAATGTCCTAGTGATTTACAACAAAGAAGCTATCTTATCAATAGCCCAACTTCCAGAGACAAATAACTCAGTTCCTCAAGCCCTAATGTTGCCCTCCCTTCCAGAAAAACTGAAGGAGGTTGGGGCTGAAGGAAATGTAAATAAGGTTAAATTTCTTCTAAACCTAAAACTCACTGACAAGGATGTTTGATAGGAGGAATGTGACATTCCACCAGGAAACTCCCAATTGTCTTCGTGTTAGTGTCTCATCAGAGGGAAAAACAGCCTTGGCTTAACAATAACTAGGCCTCCAATATCCTGACAGTCTTCTTTACCTTGACAGCCCTTTTAACATCCCCTTTTTCCTCACTTACCCAATTCCTGTGTATATAATCAGGCACTCCTCAGGATAGCGGGGCAGCAGCTCTTCCTGCCCACAGGTCCTGTCCCCGTGCTTTAATAAACCACCATTTTGCACCAAAGATGTCTCAAGAATTCTTTCTTGGTCATCGGCTCCGGACCTCACCCCACCGAACCTCACCTATGTTCTAGAACTTCATCATCTGTCAAATAAATAAATAAAATCTTAAAAAAAAAAAAGTACCTATGGGTATAACAACATTAAATGGAAGACCCCAGAGAGAAAATTATCTCAGGTGTGAGAGAAAACAGAAATTTGTAGTCACAAAACAAAACAATAACTGATCTTCATCCTCCTTTCTGATGATCTCCCACATGTTACTTATTGCTTCCAATTAAGGGCCCACATCTGACAATCTCTGGCAAAGACGCCCCAGTCCCTTTGGATCCAGGTTTAAGCGACACACTAAGAATGTGACAGCTTTACAGTCTTATCAAACTAACTGGTCCTGCACGGAAACCACCTCATCGCACATTCTCCTTCCCTCCTATATAACCCGTCCTTAAGAAATTTAAATCTGACCAGTTTTTCTCTTGCTCCAAGTCCGAAAACCAAACTTTGACACGCACTAATAATCTAACTCACGAGATGCTTGGCTTGAACGGTGATTAGATGCTAACCCAGGACGAGGGTTCTTTGAGACCAAACAACAAATGGGAGGAAATAACCCCCAGCTGGAGTCCTATCTTTCAGTACCCCCTTACGGTCCGTGTTGTGGCCTTCAGAGCCCATGCGGTAGTAATTGGCTTGATGATTGTTTCTTCAGAGCTGCCTTCCTGATTAAAAATGCTGCCCGAAGCACAGCGAGGATGTCCTTGACACACATCCTATTTTCTGGGAAAAAGGTTGCTACCACGGTAATTGAGCTGGGGAGCGGAGACAAATTGCTCCGCGCTCCAGCAGCGGGTTCAAAGGACTGCTGTTGACCGGAATCGCACACACCCTGCAGTTTTCCCTCTCGCAGTTTGTAAGATAACAATGATAGTATTTGCATCTACAGATCATCTGCAAAACTGAAGTGGAAGGGGAGAAACCACAACTGACGAGACTATAAAAGAATCCAAAACGCGGGACAGAGTTACACAAATGACCACAGGAGAGAGGGGGAGGCCCGGAGCTCCCCCGCGGGGCTGCTCCGGGACCGGCCGGGGACTGCGGAGGGGAGTGGGGAGGGGTGCGGGGTGGTGGTGCAGGATGATTGATTTATCTGCCCCGGGCCGGCGGCGCCCGCAGCTGGCTGGAGCCCACGGTGACATCACTGGCCCCGGCGCGGGTCACGTGGCCCGCTCCCCTCCCGCTCCTCCTCCCGCTGCCTTCGGAGCGCAGAGTCCGGCTGCAGCAGGCGCCCGGAGCTCTCGGGGGAGGCGTAGGCCACTGGCGAGCCGGACCCGCGGCGGCAGCGGCAGCGCAGGGATCCCCGAGCGACGCGGTCGGCGCTCCTGCAAACTTGGGCGCGCGCTCGCGCTACGGCGCCCGCAGCCGGAGCGATGAAGATGGTCGCGCCCTGGACGCGGTTCTACTCCAACAGCTGCTGCCTGTGCTGCCATGTCCGCACCGGCACCATCCTGCTCGGCGTCTGGTACCTGGTGAGCGCGGCGACTACGCGCGGGGGGCGCACCTGCCGGGGAGACCCTCCCCCACCCCGGCCCCCGCCCCGCGCGCCCTGCACCCCCCCCCCCAGGCCAAGTGTGGCTTCGGTGTCTGGCGACGCCGGCGCTAATCTGCCTGAAGTTGTATTATTAGAAACTTAATTCCCTGCGCGAGCCTGTCCGCGATCCCCGGCTCGGCCAGCCCGTGGCGGGGGTCCGGTCGGGGGCTGTGTGGCCGCGGCCAAGCCCGCCGCTTCCGGGAGAAGTGCTCCTGCGGCCCCCGAGCCCCCGGCGGAGCCGCTGACCACGTGTTTCCCAGCCCTTCCTTTCTTCTCCGCACCCGGTGGGCCGCGACCGGCAGGGTCGTGGGGTGGGTGACAGAGTGCATCGTGTCCCCTACTGCGGTCAGGCTGGCGGCCGGACGTACCCATTCTCCCTGCCCGCACCTGTCTGGCGTCGGGTTTGCTGACCCGTCTGCTGCGCGCGTTCGGGTCCCGAGGAGAGACGGTTGGGGGGTTCTTGGATCTCTCGGTGCCCGAGCCCCTCCACGTTTGGTGGGAAGCCGTTACTCTAGGAAGGGATTTGCTTGTGGTTTACTGCGTTTCAGTCCGTCCCGGGAAGCCATTTTACACCCACTTACTTTCCTGCCCGTTGACAGGTGATCCCTGTACCTTTCTTACCGGACACAGCCAGCAGATCTGATTTTTTTTTTTTCCCCTTTTTTTAGGTCGGAGCTTTTAAGGACTTGTTTGTTTGGGGAGCAGTGATTCATTCTTAGGGGCAGTGAGGAAACCTGATGGAGCTTTCTGGCCCTGTGCCTGCTCCAGGTTGATTGTTGGCATCCCAGGACCGCATGCACCAGCAGAGTCGGATTCCGTTGCATTTCGGGTTTTGTGACATCACTATGGGGAGTTAGACCCGAGCCACTGTGCAGTGAATACCACTGCATCCTGAGGAAATCATGGTGCTAAGACGGCATATTGAACTTTTTTAGTGAGAATAAATTCTTGATCATAAAAGTTTTTTCTTGTTGTTGGTTCATAGTCACTTTTTCGATGTAATATGAACATCGTGTCGAAATTGTGTTGTTGTGCCATATTAAGCCAAACGTTTTCCCCCAGGTTTATGGTGTTCCCTGCGCTATTTACAGTTTCAAGTTTCCTTCAGTCAGTGCCTATCACAGGCCACACAGTAGACATTTTTTTGGCCTTAAAAGCTTTCAAACAGATCTTTGGTATGAGTGGATTCTTTTTGTGCAGTCTGAATGCAGATAGAACATCAGCATCTTGGCTCAACGCGGACTTCGCTAGGAGCCAAGAAATGCTTTACAGAAATTTTAAATTACAGCAAAAGGATGGTAGGTGGACTCAGAATAGGGCTCTTATTGATGGTCAAGATAGACTGTTGTATATAAATGTCTTGGGTCCTCCTTGAAAATGTTCAAAATTGCAGACTTGCAAGTACACCAGCAAATGTAATTTGTAAAATCTAGGGCACTGCATTAGGCAAATGTACTTACACGATCTACAGGAAAGATAAATCTACTTGAGCCCTGTTGTTGGCTAAAATCCAACCAGACAGCATTGGTGTGAGAAAAGGAGAGCATTCTGCATGCTTTGTCTACTGTTTGAACATGCTCTTTGTGGAAAGTAGTTATGGCTGTGTGTGTTGTAGCATTTGGAAACAGCATGGCCTTTTGAAAGATAATTAGAAAGCTTTGTAGCAGTTGGAAGGATGCGCCCTTTGGTAAACCTAATAATAAATGGGAAACCTGGCTTTAGTACTAGTACTGTTCCTAAGAAGTCTTTTGCATTTTGTAAAACAATTTAGACTTGCGAGTTTCACTCATACCTTTACGTATAAATTTGGTTATCCAAAACTTGGTTTCACATGAACTTTTTTTTAAGTTTTTATTTATTTATGACAGAAAGATACAGCGAAAGAAGGAAAATACAAGCAGGGGGAGCTGGAGAGGGCTCAATCTCAGCGTCCTGGGATCATGACCGCAGCCGATGGCAGACGCCTCGTGACTGAGCCACTCAGGCGCCCCATCTCATGAACATTTCTAAGATGAAGGAGCAGGGTCACTGAGAGCAAGGCACCTCTTCCTCCCTCTCACTCCACCAGCCAGCTGGTTGGCATAGGGTCAGTTACCAGGCGGGGAGAGTTTCATGAAAAAAAGGATAGGGCTATGGGAAGATACTCAGATAAAACTCTTTAATTATTGCCTGTTACAGGGGCGCCTGGGTGGCTGGCTCAGTGGGTTAAAGCCTCTGCCTTTGGCTGGCATGGGCTTTCTACTCAGCAGGGGGCCTGCTTCCCTTCCCCTCTCTCTGCGTACTTGCGATCTCTGTCAAATAAATAACTAAAAATCTTCATAAAAAAAATGATTGCCTATTACACCAGAAAGGTAAAGTAGATCTTTGTCATGCATTTTCTAATTGCTGTTTCCTACCCCACTACCATTTACTAAGGTCCTGTGTGCCACGTACGATACCAGATGCTTTGCATACGTTCAATTTTTACATATTCCTGGTGAGGTAGATTTTCTAAACTCTGTTTTATGGATGACAAAATAACGTAATTAAAAAAAAATAGAGGCCCAGAGAGCATAAGTGATTCACGTACAGGCCGATGGTGGGTTTGTGGTCCCTGTGATGTTTTTAGTCAGCCGGTTTCCACTTGTTCCTTACCTTCTAAAAGTTCTGGGTGTGTTTTGCTGTTGCTTTAGAATAACAAAAGGTTCCTTCAGTCCAGTAATAAAGCATATTGATTTCAGGTGTTTATATTGGCGATGAGTTCTTTATTTCTTCCTTTTAATGAGGCTTAATTTACATATGGTGGAATCCACAGAAGTGTACAAATGCTGACAAATGCATGCTCTTTGTGTACCCCACACGCCTAGAAAACATTTCCAAAACCTCAGAAAGTTCCCCTGTGTCTCTTTCCAGTTAATCCCTGCTACCCCTTTACCCTCACCCTAAACGACAGTTTTACTATCCTGAGAGTGGAATTACACTTTATGCGTTTTGTATCTGGTTTATTTCACTTAGCATTACCGTCCTTTAAATTCAATCATGTTAATTGGAGTATATATATATATATATATATTTAAAGATTATTTATTTATTTATTTGTCAGACAGATCACAAGTAGGCAGAGAGGCAGGCAGAGAGAGAGAAAGGAAAGCAGGCTCCCCGCCAAGCAGAGAGCCCGACGCGGGGCTCGATCCCAGGACCCCGGGATCACGACCCGAGCCGAAGGCAGAGGCTTTAACCCACTGAGCCACCCAGGCGCCCCTTAATTGGAGTATATTAATAGCTTGATGCTTTATTGCTGAATATTTATTGTATGACTAAATCACAATTTATTTGTCCATTTGCCAGATGATGGACATTTGGGTTAGTTCCAGTTTGGGGCTATTATGGATAAAGCTGCTTTGAACATTATTGCACAAGCCTTTTTTTTTTTTTTTTTTTTTTTAAAGAAAAGATTTTGTTATTAGAGAAAACGGGGTGAGGGGAGGTGGGTGGGGAGAGAGAAGCAGGCTCCTGCTGAGCAGGAAGCTCAATGCAAGGCTCCATCCCAGGACCCAGAGATCATGACCTCAGCCTGCAAGGCTCCATCCCTAGACCCAGGGATCAGGACCTTCGCTGCAGGTAGCTGCTTAGGCCCCCCTCTTGCACAAGACATTTTGTGGACATATCTTTTTATTTCTCTAAATACCTAGCAGTGGAGTTGGTGGATATTGGGTGGAAGTACGTTTAGCTTTATAAGAAACTGCCAAGCAATTTTCCAACATGGTTCTGTTTTACACTCCAGCCCGCAACGTGTGAGGTTCCAGTTGAGGTTCCAGTTGTACCACATCCTTGTCAGCATTCAGTGTGTCAGTCATTTTAATTGTAGCCATTTTGGTGGGTATGTAGTTGCAGCTCTTGGTAGTTTGAGTTTACATTTCCCTTAGGACTGACGATGTGGGGTGGTGTATCTTTGCTTATGGGTCAGTCATAGATCTTCCTTTGTGAAATTGCCTCTTTTAAAATTGGGTTTTATTTTTCTTTCCCTTAATGCTTTGTAAGATCTCTTCATATGTTTCAGATTCTGGTCCTTTGTTAAAGATTCATTTTGTGAATGTTTTCTCCTAGGGTGAGGTTGTCTACCCACTCTCTTAATGGTATATTTTGATGAAAAGTTTGTTGTTGTTTTGAGACAGAACGGGGGGGGGGGCGGCACACAGGTGCACAAGTGCTGGTCGGTCGGGGGAAGGAGTACAGTCAGAGAGGGAGAAGCAGACTCCCCGCTAAGCAGGGAGCCCAGCTGGGGCTGGATCCGAGGACACTGAGATCATGAACTGAACCAAAGGCAGACACTTAATCAACCGAGCTACCCAGGTGCCCCAGTGAACAGAAGTTCTTAATTTTTTTTTTAAGATTTTATTTATTCATTTTTTATTTGACAGAGATCACAAGTAGGCGGGGGTGGGGTGGGGGGTGGGGGGGTGGGGCGTGCAGGGAATCAGGCTTCCCACTGAGCAGAGAGCCAGTTGCTGGGCTCTGTCCTAGGACCCTGAGATCATGACCTGAGCTGAAAGCAGAAGCTTCACCCCCTGAGCCACCCAGGCACCCCAGAAGTTTTTAATTTTAAGTTCAGTTTGTCAATTTTTTTTTTCTGGTTAGTACTTTCAAATACAGGAAAAGAAGAAAAAAAAAAGATAAACCCAAAAGATAAACCGAGAAATCTTTGCCTACCCCCAGATTGTGAAGATACTCTCTTATATTTTTTCTAAAGCTTTATGGCTTTATTAGCTTTTATATTTCCATCTGTGATCCACCTCTGATTTTTTTTTTAAAGATTTTATTTATTTATTTGACAGATCACAAGTAGACAGAGAGGCAGGCAGAGAGAGAGAGAGAGAGAGAGAGAGGGAAGCAGGCTCCCTGCTGAGCAGAGAGCCCGATGCGGGGCTCGATCCCAGGACCCTGAGATCATGACCTGAG